GGGCCAGCAGCAGAGCACTGTGCCCACTGCCAGGCGCCACTCACCCGAGCGACTGCTGGTGGAGGACAGCAGGGCCACGCCACCGCCCCGCAGCCTGCCACCAGGCCCACGGCCACGGCAAAGCAAAGCGCCGAGCGCCGCGGCTGCTGGGACCACCACAGCTCCACCTGCTCTGCCATCACATCCGGGGGCAGCCCCCGGCCTGGTGGGGCCCGAGCCCCTCCTTCAGACATGGCTGATCTGGGCACAAGTAAGGGCAGAGGGCAGCGTCAGTGGTCAGAGGCACTGATCACAGCCTGGAGCCCCCACCACTTGCGTGGCAGCTAGAGGCCCAGAGTCCTGTTCCTCTCACGGTCCAGGGGATGGTCAGCATCACCTGCAGGGGGTGAATCACACTTGCTATCTCCCCAGCCCCCCTGCCCCTCATGGTCTCTCCTGGGAGCCTTGGGCATGGTCCCTGGAAATTGCCCCTCTGTTCCCTGCAATCTCCCCCTCCAGAAACGCCCCTCCCTAGAACCACCCCTTGGGAATGCCTCTCCAGTGACCCCAGGAGAGCTCCCTCCACACAAATTGCCCACCAACCCCTCCAGGGAACCCCCTGCCCAGCCCCTGACCTCTCTGGCTCTGCCTTTCTCGGTTGCCTGTTCCATCCCAGCTGGCCGAGGGAGCTGGTGCCACGGTGGACGATGGGACTGGATGAAGACCCAGAGATAAAGCCTCATTCAGGATCAGACTCACATGGCCTCAGCTGTCACCGCTGGCTCCTGGGGGGAGGGTTGTGGGGACTGAGGGGCCTTATGACTTAACCCTTCTGGAACCAGCAGCCTGACCCTGAATATTCTCTCTTGGGGCTGTGGCTCTTCCGTGAATCAGGATCTGACCCCTGACACCCTCTTTCCCCTAACAGCCCATCCAATCTCACAGCCAAGGCTGCTGTTCCCAAATCCCTCTCTCCCTCTAACCCAGATCTCCCTCCAGAGCTCTACCCATAAGCCGGTTTTCACCTTGATGTCCCATAGGCACCTCTGGTGCAACAGGTCTCAACCCAAGCTTATGTGTCATTTTACCCCATACCTGTGCCTCCTCTTGTGTTCCTCACTTGGGCACGTCCTGGGAACACCACCTCTAAACATTTCTCCACCCCATTCCCTGCCCTCATCCCCCTGCTCCTGACTGTCAGCCTCCCTCTCCACAGCTTCCTCACTGCTCTTCCTGCCTCCCCGCCTCTTCTCCCTCTCACCACACCCCTACACCATCCCTTTCAGGATTTCTCTGAAGTGGTACAGTGGAAGGAGGGCTCTGGACCGGAACCCCTGCTGCTGTCCCTGCCACCATGGGAATGTGGGCGAGGGACCTCGCAGTGGTTCCTCATGGTACACGTCTTCCAGAGGCCATTCAGCGTGACTCACACTGGGCAGAATACTGCAGCCTTTGCCCTCAAGGAGCCCCAGTTTACAGCCAGTGTGTTCATGTGATGAATGGCGGCTCTGGGTCAGTCAGAAGAGGGCTTGGGGGAGGTCAGAGAAGCCCTGATGGGTTCACCTCTTGGAGCCTCAGGCTCCTAATCTGAAAAGTGAGGACAATAGCCTTTATCTTGAGGGGTCAGGACATTAGAATCTCCACTAAGAATTCCAGCAGGAATTCTAGGGCCCCCACAGATGCCCAGACATGCTTTTTGAATAAAAGAACACAACGTTCTCTCCTCCAATTCAGAATGGAACTCCTGCTTTATACATAGGACGCAGGTCTGATCATTCTGGGAACATGACATCACGGCTGTATGTGGGTTACAGCCCTGATGAGGTATCGGTCTTCCACAACCCCTGGGCAAGGGCTGCCTGGCACACAAGGCGGGAGGGGCAGCTGCAGGTGCCCCCAAGGGGAGTGGGGGAGGGGCTGAAGGAGGGGCCATTCAGTCAGTCCCGGCATTCCCCAGGGCTGTGACTTCACTGGTCTGAAAGTGCTTGCACAGGTGTGTTGGGACCGCGGGCCGGACCGGGGGCGGGGTGGAGGGTCTCAGGGTAGGGCCAGTGGGAGAAGGTGGGGTGGTGGGGGTAGGGGGGCTGGGGGGCACTCACAAGAAACCTGGAAGTGCTGGATCCGATCCGTGCAGCCAGGGCAGGTGGGGCACTCCAGCTCCGTTTCCGGGGGAGGCGCTTCACCTGCCTAACCTGCACCTAGGTGAGCCCTGGGGGGAGGGGTAGGAGGATCAACAGGTGTTTCCAAGGCAGGGCCTGAGCTGATTGGCTGACGTGGCATTGCTCCTTTTGCAGGGCTGAGGCATTCCTGGGAAGGGAGGGGCTTCTGCCCGCTGCTGTTAAAGCACAACATGAGTCCCAGACCTGGGCAGCAGGAGGAATGTTGTCTACTTGCCCCAGAGCCTGGACCTGAACTCACTCCCCAGCTCTGACCCCAGCTTAGCCCCAGCCTTAACCCAACCCCAACCCCCAAGCCCTAACTAGAACTCCTAGCTCCGACCGCAGCCCCTACCCCACATCTCAGCCCAAACCCTGCGTTGCGAATCCCAACCCTAACCCCAGACCCAGATCTCAACCCCAGATCTGGCTTGAAACCTCAGCTCCAAATTCTGGAATTAGGTCTTAGTCTGCAACCTCATCCTTGACCCCTATTCCTGAATCCAGCCCCCAGATTCTAACACCAAACTCAAATCCTGCCTCCACCCCAGATTCCAGCACCTGCTGACTCCCAAACCCAGCTCTAGTACCTCCATCCCTTGGCACTTTCCCCTAGGGCTGGAGCCCCACGGCCTCTTGCTCATTCTCCTTCAAGGCTTCAAGTGCCTGACCAGGGTAGGTTTGCTCCACATGTCTTGGCCCAGCTGGGGAGGCAGGATTTGAGTGCACAGGGAGGAGGAGGTGAAGGCTTTTCAGGTGGGAAACAGAAGCTCCCTTGCTTAAAATGCTCGCAGAATGAACACTTCAGGATAAATGCCATACTCCTTCACAGGGCTCACACAGCCCCTGCCATCAACAGCAGGCCAGTCATTTGCCACTGGTCCCCGTCCCCCAGCCAGAATGCATGTCTTTCTGTTATGCATGTTCTGCACGGCTTTGTGCTTCAGGTTGGTTTTTCTTTTCTTTTTAAATTGAAGTATAGTTGATTTACAATGTTGTGTTAGTTTCTCTGGTTGACTTTTGAACTCAAGAGTTCCCTCTCCCTGGGATGTTTACCCCCAGCCTCGGTCTGGCCAACTCAAATTCTTCAACTGAGACGTCACCTCCTCCAGGAAGCCCTCTTTGACCTCCAGGCTGGTTTTGGTGCCTCTTTGGGGCAACCAAGGCTCTTGTGCTTCCTCCATAACTGCTCTTACTGCATGTGCTGTGATTGCCCTTATTTACTTACCCGTCATCCTCCACTACATGTGTGGTTCCCAGCAGGTTCAGGTTAAGCGCCTGTTTTGCTAACAACTGTGACCTCAGCAGCCAGCCTTATGCCTGGCACATGGAAGGTAATGAGTAACTCTTTGTTGAATGAGTGAGTGTGTGAACTGCAGGTGTGGGGGGATTTAAGCAGGGGGCATGTGAGATGAAGTTGGAATGACAAGTTTGGCTCCGGTGGCACTGGGACTTGAATTGAGGCTTTTGGACTCATTTGAGGTACCCATGGCAGGTTCTGAAGTATAACAAGGACCTGGTCAAGGGCTGTGCTTCTAATAGGTGAATCTGGCACCACACGCCACATGATAGGCGAGGTGGGGCTGGTTGGAGGTGGTTATAGGCTGGACTGAGTAATGTCTCCTGCTCTCTCTCCTTCTACTGTGTTTCAAATGGACCAGAAAAACAAAATCAAAGTTATCTTTGCATTATCAGCTCTCAGAATAATTACACTAGACCTGTCCATGCTTCTCTTTGCTTTGCTCCGTGGAGATGACCGGGGGGCCAGTCACAATTCTAGAGCAGTGCTGACCAATAGAAATATAGTAACGCGAGCCACTTACGTGATTTAGAATCGTCTAGGAACCGCGTTAAAACAGTAAAAAGAAACAAGAAATTAATACATTAAAATTTTAATTTAATCCTCCAATATTTTCATCTTAATATACAAGTGAATAATGAGCTCAGTCAGTCTTATTTTGTCTTGAAAATGCGCTGTGTGTTTGATACAGACAGTGCATCTCAGCTCAGGCTAGCCATTTTCCTAAAGGTCAATCACCACGTGTGCCTTGCGGCTCCCTCACTGGACAGTGTAGCTCTAAATGGTTCTTGCCCTCAAGGAACAGTCATGGCAGGCTGACCACTGCAGCGGCCTGGCAGGGCTCGGTGGCTTGGTAGCTGTGTTTCTCTCTTGTACATCTGACATTTATTTTTCCTCCTGGTCCCAAGGAGGGGCCAGTCCCAACCAGATCCGGGGTCCAGCTGTTCCGGATAGAACTGGACAGGGAAGGACGTGAGATTCCTCTCCCCAGCCCTCTCCCCTGGGGCTTTGAGGGGAAGTTTCGGGCGGAGGGAACAAAGCCTAGAAGCTTCCCTGGTTTAAACATTGAGCAGGTGAGACTTTGTTCTCATTCTGAGTCTTATCAAATAACTCAGAGTTAAAGTGGACAGGCAGGCTTCTTTCAGGGCAGTTGAACTCTGTCCCCAAAGCAGAAGCTGTCAGGGCAGCTCAGATGGGCAGGAAAGATGGCAGGGGGAGGAGGCGGCAGTGGGCAGAGAGCGCAAGATGTGGATTCTAAGTGATCGATTAGATGGTAAGAGGCGGAGGATGAGGCCCTGCAGCCCAGCCTCCCTGCTTCTGCCACATTCCCACCTCAGACTGTTCACCACAGGGTAGCTAGAGTGATCCTGTTATAAGGTAAAGCAGGCCATGTCACTGCTGGCTGTGCTTGAGTCCCTCCAATGGAGAACCAGCCAGAGACCTCCCATGATCCCTAAGGCCCTCTCTGACTTCATCCCCTGCCATCCCTCTCTGCTTGTGTGTGCTCAGAGCCTTTGCATTGGCTGTTCCCACTGCCTGGAATGCTTTCCTCCCACGTGGCTCTCCCTCTTGCCTTCCTTTAGGAAGGTGCCCAAATGTCACCTTCTCAGTGAGACTTCCCTGGCTATCCTGTCTAAAATCACAGCTTTCCAATACTTCCTATCTCCCTGCCTTTAGTCCTTCGGTTTCCTTTATTCTCTTATGTATTTCCTTAGCACTTGTCACTGTCTAACGTGCTATGTTTTTTTCTTATCTGTCTGGAATATTATCTGTCTACCCCTTGGAAGATAAGCTTCACAAAGGGAGGGGTTTGTGTATCTTACCTCCTAGAACCGGCCTGGCATATGATAGGTGTCCAATGAATGCTTGTGAACAAATTAATGAATAAACAGTAGAGAGAACACTGGTTTGGGAACTAGATTGACCTTGAAGTTTCCAGTCCCAGCTTGGCTTAACCTCCATGTGTCCCAGTCTCTTCATTTGTAAAACGGGGACAACAGTACTTCGTCTAAATAGTTGGTGGGTGGCGAGGGGGAGAGATTAAATAATACAATTAATTCACTCAGCAAACATTTACTGTTCTCATTCTCTGGACCAGGGATTGTGCTGGGTGTTGGAGACACAGCAGTGATCAAAAGAGGTCCTGTCCCTGCCTGCCTGAAGGGCAGTTGGAGGATAATGGGCTTAGAGCACAGGTATTGTTGCAGGTCTTCAATAGCTCCAGGCAACCCGCCCCATGAGCGACAGCTGCCCCAGACAGACATCTTTTGGAGTATCTGCCCCGCTCACCATAACCAACTTCACTGCAGGGATGAACCCCAGCAACTGGGATTATATTCTGTGACCTACGCTTATGAGTACAATTGATGGACAGAGGTGAGCCCCAGACTCAAGCTAGGCCCCAAATATTCTCTTTTGGCAATTTAAAGTCAGATGAGACAGAATGACCATCATAAAAAAGTCTACAAGTAATAAATGCTGAAGAGGCTGTGGAGAAAAGGGAACCCTCCTACACTGTTGGTAGGAATGTAGTTTGGTGCAGCCATTATGGAAAACAGTATGGAAATTCCTTAAAAAACTAAAGATAGACTTAACCGTATGATCCAGCAATCCCACTTCTGTGCATATATTCAGAGGAAACTCTAACTTGAAAAGGTTTATGCACCCCAATGTTCATAGCAGCACTATTTACAATAGCCAAGACATGGAAGCAACCTAAATGTCCATCAACAGATGATTGGGTAAGAAGTTGTGGTATATACACCCAATGGAATACTACTCAGCCTTAAAAAATAATAAAATAATGCCATTTGCAGCAACAATGGATGGAGCTGGTGATTATCATACTAAGTGAAGTAAGTCAGAAAGAGAAAGAAAAATACCATTTGATATCACTTATATGTGGAATCTTAAAAAATGAGACAAATGAACTTATTCACAAAACAGAAACAGACTCACAGACATAGAAAACAAATGTATGGTTACCAGAGGGGACGGGGGACAGGGTGAAGGGATAAATTGGGAGTTTAGGGTTTGCAGATACTAACTACTACATAAAAAATAGATAAACAAGGTCGTACTGTATAGCACAGGGAAGTATATTCATACCTTGTAATAGCCTATAATGGAAAAAGAATATGAAAACTGAATCACATTGTACATTGACTATACTTCAATTAAGAAAAGTAAAAGCAGACCAGAGATTCCTTGTCAGCCTTGGGGCATCTACTCATAGGATGCTAAGGGTACCCTTCTGCCAACCCAGCTGGCAATGGGAGGCTGCTCTGCAGAGAGGCAAGAACAAGGTGTGGGGGGGTGTTCCAGTTGTGTCCCAGGCCTGGGTTCAAGTCCTTAGTGAGGCCTGCTTGTACCACTGCCCTGAGATTCCATGAGACATGCCCAGAGCCAGATAATAAGCTCTCCCTTTTTGCTTACATTGGCTGAGGTTGGTTTCTGTTTTTTGTAAACAAAGGAGGGCACCCAGGGGTCCTCAGTTCAGAACTAGAATCTCATCGTCTCACTGAGTACTAGAGCACACAGTAGGTGGTTATTAAGTGCTAGTATACACTCGTTGCCCCTGCTGATTCCCACCATGTGACACATACTAGACGAGCAATAAATACAAATGCTTATCCATGACAGGTCATGGGAGGTGATGAGGAACATCAGTCTTTCCTGCTGCCTGGCACACGGCAGAGTGCCTTCCTTGTGAGTCTGCTCCCCAGCCCTGCTCATCTCAGACACACTCAAAGCGTAATCAGGTCTCTGAAACCCTGAGGTCTAGGGGAGCTTGCCCCAACAGAGCTCAGGGAGAACCAGCCCCAGGACCCCTGGTCCTGACATGCCTCCTCTCTCTCCTCTCACTTAAATCCAGAACAGTGATTGCCAGGGGTCCCAGCTGGACACGCAGATACTCCCAGGCCCCCCGGGCCCCCTCCAGCACTTGCTGGGAGCTGCTGGTTGGTGATGGCTTTGTGTAAGAAGCAGTGGGAGTCTGTGCCTCCTCTTTTTGAATCTGAGTGGGTTCTAAGACTGCCCTGATGGATAGAATATTTACAAAGTTACAATATTGCCAGTTTCTAGGCCTAGGACTAAAGAAAATGGCAACCCACACTTCCTAGGTGTTGAAACCCAGTCTCCATTCTCTGAGAAAGGCTATGCATTCCAGTGACGAGGTCCTCAAGTTTCTCACCTAACCTCGGGGCTGACAGCCAGTACAAACTTGCCAGCCATGTGGGTGAACCATCTTCCAAGTCCATCCTCCAGCCTCCGTCAACTTCCCAAGCTGATGCCGCACAGGGCAGAGATAAAGTGTCAAGTGAAGTCCTTCTTGAATTTCTGACCCATAAAATGATAAGCAAAATAAAATTGTTGCTTAAGCCACAAAGTTTTTGTGTAGTTTCTTTTTTTTTAAAGTTACTATTTATTTATTTGTTTATTTATTTAATTTTTGGGGTGTAGTTTCTAATACAGCAATAAATAGCCAAAACAATCGATGATCCAGAATTTTCTAAATAAGGTGGAAGAATTTCATTCTTGCAAAGGAAGAGACTGACAGGAGAAAAAAAAAATCTGACTAGAAAACAATGCTAGGCTGAGAACCATTTACTACTCTCAAAAACACCTAAAATATTTTAAATGGTATGTGCTATGAAATATTGATGGTATTTTTAAATAATTGATAAAAATAAGCAATGATGATTGTAAATATCTAGTATAATGCAACTTTTTATAATTTTGGGAGTAATAATTTTAGAATACTTAATCCTACATTATAAGAAGAGAATACAAATAATTTAAGTCTCATTCCTAGAAATCCATTAACAATTAAAGACAACATGAACAAATAATATAAACTGAAGTAATAAGCCACTGCTATCTGAGTTGCTAAGACGAATTGTAATAGAATGGCACAATAATAAACATTATCTTTGGGGAAATGCGGG